ACATCACAACTCGCTTTTCTAGAAACGACAAGCAAACTGAACACTAACAGACCATGTTGTGCTTCCGGCTCTGCACTTGAGCCAGAAGTAGCCCTCATTGTGCCAGGCAGGAGAAGAAGGAAAGAGAACGGAGGTGACCAGGCCCCCAAGAGATGGTTCAGTAATTAATGCCATCCTCTGGTTTAACCACAGCCCAGCTCCCAGGAGAGTCATCTGTTCCAGCAGGACTCTGCCCCACTTTCAGGAGGCTTTCTGAAAAGAAGGGGCAGGATGCTGCTGGACTCCCACTTCCCTCCTTTGGCTGGAGGATCTCTCACCTCACCCAAATCCAGTGATGCCTCCTTTAAAAAAACCAAAATCTATCACTGGATCCTGTTCGAAAAGGCAACTCCTGGACCTTTTTGCTGTTGAATCCACCCTCCGCCCCACACACTCACTTCCCAGGGAAGGACAGATGGAGAGCAGCTGTCTCTGCTCATATTTACAACTCCTGGGCAGGTTGCTGATAAAGGCGCTATTAAGGGCAAAGCCCTCCCTAGCACAAGAGGCCGAATCAACGGTCACAGATAGAAGCTAATCAAGGAGAAAAGCCACCTAGGATTAAGGTGAGAACAATGACAGTGAGAACAATTAGGATAAGGGTGTCCAACCTTGGCAATAAGACTGGTGGACTACAACTCTCAGAATTCTTAAAGTTCCAAAATTGGAGACCCCTGATATAGGCTCTCCTGTTGAGCAGGGGGTTAGACTAGAAGACCTCCAAGGTCCCTTCCAACTCTGTTATTCTGTTATTCAGGAGTTCAAAAGGAGGGCAGCCCCTGGGCAGTTCCGTTTGGGGAGCCTCCCAGATGCTTTCCACAGGGATTTCTGCCTGCAGGGTGTGGGTCCCGTGTCAAGAAGGCAGAGCAACAGAGAGAAGCCACGTTGTCCCCTCTGTCTCTCCTCTCTGTATCCCAGAAAGGTCTCTCTACCTGCTCTGTTTGCTTACTGGGCAGAAGCTTCAAGGTCTAAAAATAGATAAGGTTATCAACAGATCAAAATATCTCTGAGCAGCTGCAGACTCTGAAACAGCCTTCTGGGCAAGTCTGGCTCTCTGGGTCAGGTGAAGGGAGCCGTGCAAGTGGTGGGTTTCAAATTTTTTTTACGATGGTTCTGTGGGCGTGGCTTGGTGGGCATGGCATGGCTTGGTGGGTGTGGCTTGGTGGGGTGGGAAATCTCCATTCCCACCTCACTCCGGGGAAGGATGCTGCAAAATCCCCATTTCCTCCCCATCATCTGGGACTCGGGAGGCAGAGAATAGATGGGGGTGGGGCCAGTCAGAATTTTTACTACCGGTTCTCCGAACTACTCAAAATTTCCGCTATCGGTTCTCTAGAACTGGTCAGAACCTGCTGAAACCCACCTCTGAAGCTGTCCCCCCCCAACCTATACCGATAGCCTGTGACATCTCCCGGGCCCCAAAGATATGAAGTCCTCAAGGCCACCCGGCTGTGAAGGGGAGAGTTTGCCCTATTTTGACCTGTCTTCTCCAGATCCTAGGAAGGGGCTTGCTCAATCTTCCCACAATCAGATGGATTCAGGAATCCTGGCCTTGGTGGGATCCAGAGATCACCTCCAGAACTGGGTCTGATGCAAGCAGCCAACCCAGAGCTGCCCAGACTACTTTGGCCATTGGTAGGTTAAGGCATGAACCAATCTGGTCTACGTGTTGCGATCTGAGCCATTAAGGAAACGTCATTATTTTGGATCGTGAATACCACCTTCCTTCCTTCCTTAGAGAGGCAGGCCTGGCTCTGGGCACAGCAGGCTCTATCTGATGCTGCAGAGGACGTACAAAGGGCACCTGCTTGTCCTGGCAGAAGCAAACACTGAGGCCCCCTGTGCCAGACTCCAACTCCCATCATCCCCTAGATCAAGATGCCTCAGCCTTGATAACTGGAAGAGATGTGGACTTCAACTCCCAGAACTCCAGAGCAGAGCAGAGCAGAGCAGGCTGGGGAATTCTAGGAGTTAAGTCCACACCTCTCCCAGCTGTGTGGGGGGGGGAGGGGACATTGCCTAAGCGGATGGGTTGGCAGGGGATGATGGGAACTGGACCCACACAAAGTTGGGAAAGCAGTGGGGAAATCAGAACAGCAAAGAGCATCCCTGGGGGCAAATGGGTTTCAGCCTCCCCACAGCATCTCCCAGCCTGCAGAACCGGCTTGCCTCTTTACCAAAGCGGCCGCGGTGCGCCTCCTCGGGTGGCTCCGCGCCTGGGGTCCTCCCATCGACGAGGGCGCACCTTTGACCGGACCCCGCCCTTCCGCTTCAATGTCTCCGACCCGGCATCCACTCCAACCCTCCCCTGAAGCAGCGCCAGGATACCCTCCGCAGGGAGGCTCTCCGGGCTCCAGTTGGGGAGGGGCGGGGGGTCTCGTCCCGCAGTGACGCCGCTTGGAAGAACCGGCCGGCCCATTTCGGCGTGGAAGCGCAGCGCCCTCTGGTGGCTGCTTGCAGAGCCGTAGGGCTTGGGCATAGCGGATCGGGGTGCCAGCCTTCGCCCCGAGATGAACGCCCAGCAGGGAATCCCCGGGCTGAGGGGGGGAGGGGGCTTCAGACCTGCAGTCAGAGCTCCTGGGCGGAGGGTAAGACGCTCTGCTCCAGACAGGGGCGCCCGGAGGACCAAGGGCCTCCGCGAACTTTCTATGGAACCCGCCCGGCTGTTTCGGGGATGGTTCGCCTCGGGCCGATTTCTGAAGCCAGGCGAGTGTTCCTGAGCTAGACAGCTGACCCGCCGCGAGGCCAGATGCGACGCAGAGAAGCCGAGGGGATTTGCTCAGAATTGACAGCCGGGAACGCGGCGCGGGGGGGGGGGGCGGTTGGCTGCGTCTCTGCAGCTTTCAGCGCTTGGCAAAGGAGCCTCCTCGCCTTGCCATCTCCCCATCTGTCCAGCCACCCCCTCCCCCCGGAATAAATGCATTCATTAAAAGCGCTGGCTGGGCGGCTCAGGCTCCCTGCTTGATTCGCGTCCCAGGATCATCCAGGGAACCGTCCGTGTTCGGCCCGCGCTCGGCAGGAGCAAAGGGAAGGGAGCGGCAGAGGTCGGGGGTCCTTACGCGAGGAGAGCCCCGTAGCGAGCCGCCCGTCCGGCCCGGTTCTCCTCCCCTGCTTCGAAGGACAAAGGCCTCGTTCGGCAGGGGGCCGCACCAGGCTCGCCTTTCCCGGGCTGAGGTTGAACCGGGATGGGGGACCACCAGGGAAGCCCCGGCTTTAACTAGAGGCCAGGAAACGATCCGAAGAGATCTCCTTCTCCCTGTGGTGGTGCGGGGCTTTCTTGGCTCCTGGCACTTTGGTTTGTGGCTCCCCAGAGACACCTCTGGCGACCCGCGGCCCCCTTAAAAAGGCCCCATGCTAGAAGGGCTCTCCGAAGGGACCCGGCTGGGGAGGGGCCGACTAGCTGCTCGCCCTTGGCCGAGAGGATGCGCCGGCTTGGCCGGTGCCCGGCGGGGACGGAGGCCTGCACAGGGCCGAGTTCCCCCTTTGCCTTTCCCCGTCCACCACCTTTACTGCTGGCCAGTCTCCAGACTGGCGTTGCCGGACCCTTCCCCCTCCCCCCCCCAGAGGAAGAGAGCAACTGGACTGGCTTTGGGCCAGCGCAGCCTTTTATGAGCTAAGCAGGGAAGCGAGGCGCATTCCAAGCGCTCTTCTTATACAATATTAAAGGAACTGGAAGAGCTTCTCCCCCCTCCCTTTCCTGCCTCTCCCGACCACGAGCAGCCTGGCAGCACCTGCCTGCCTGCCTTTGCTCTGATGCAAAGCCCCTCTCCCCCCCCAACCAACAGCGTCGCTTTAAATTAACCTTGAAAGCAGAGAGCGAAGGCGAGGACCGGACGGGGACCCTTTATATTTGTGGGTGGGTGGGTGAGGGAATCTTCTCCTTGAGTTCCCGAGGCACAACTGGTAGGGAAAGAAACTTGACCGATGCTCAGAGGAGCTCCTGTTTCACTCCGCGGTCAAAGAGAGTTCCCGGGATTTAATTTCTGCAATTCGAACTTGAAGGGATAGAAGCAGCCGAAGACACGGGACTGCGTTCACACAATCACCTGATTGAACCGAGCCATTTCCTGGATTAACAGAATACATTGACCTGTAAAGCGACCAAAGGCCGAGCCACCCACAACGAACAAAAGTTGGCAGAAGTTTATTAAATGCGAGCAGACCCACCACCTTTGCCGTTAGACACGTGATTCTCTCCCGCGTTCACAGGAGCGGAGCAGAGACCCGGCCTTCTCGGGCTCTGCGATTCTTGGCTTGCTTGCTCCCATCTCTTGGGGACGCCCTGCAAACTGGTTTCCTGAGCGCAGAGATCCAATTTTGGCTGGAGGCTGCGAAGGTTACAGAGCGGGATTGGGGGGAGCGGGGGACCGTAGGGCAGGCCGAGGTCGCCCGGTGCGCCCGGCTTCTCCATCTCTTCCAATCGCGCCCCCTCACTCCAGCCAAGGACCGGCGGGGGAGGGGGAGGGCTCGTGAGGCTGGTCCCAGCCTGCCAAGTGATGGCTCCCCACCCCTCGGCTAGACAGCCGGAGGGGTTGCTTGGCACCGCTTTCCCGACGGCGCCGGGGCAGGGAGAGGGCACGGCTCACTGCTGGGGTCCCTGCCGTAGCCTCAAGGCCAGGCGGGGAGGGGGCACCTTTCCAGCGAAAGACCCAAAGGGCTGACCGGGCGCGGGAGGGTCTTTAAAAGAGGCGCCGGTCTTTACGGAGCCCCCTCCCTAGACGTCGGGCGCAGACGAGAGGGAGGCGGCGCAGGTAAGGGGTTGAGCGGGGCGCAAGCCAACTGCGTGGAAAGAAGGTTGCGGCGTGCTTTAGGAGAAAGGAGGGGGACCCTTACTGAAATTGGGGCGAGCCGCATTTTGGTTTCAAGAGAGCCCTCCCACTCCTCGCGCAGGAAGAGGGGCGGGGCGCCTCTGGGCACGTGCAGAGCGCCTTCCAGTCGCGGCCCAGGTAAGCCGCGGCTCCGCTGGGCGGGGCAGGAGCGCCCCTCCTTCCCAGCGAGCCGCTGAGCGGAGGCTGCCGGGGCGCGCCTGGCGGATTGGGGCGCACGGCGCGGATTCCCTCCTCCTGGACAGGCCGGCAGGGAGGCAGGTAAGGCAGCGGCGGGCCAGGCCTTGCCCGGGAGAATCGGCCGCGTCTTCCTCGCTGCCGGAGCTGCGGCTCGCAGTCCCCGGTTCCGAAGCCGCCTGAGCTGGGTTACCTCTCCGCTCCCACTAGGCAAAGGGGATGTCCGGGGGGAGCTTGGAGAGGGGAGAGAGGATTGCTCGGCGGGTCCCCTCGGGGGCCATCCAGGCCCAGACCTCCGTCCCGTCTCTTGGCAGAGCTGGTGCTCCGGCGCAGCAGGTTCGGGCCGGCCTGCTTCGCTCCGAGTGGCTTTTTCGGCTGCGGAGAGGCGCGAGGAGAGCCGGCCCGAGCTCCAGTCGGCACTGAACCCGCTCACTTATCGGGGTCTCCCACGCGGAAGCGTGGCGGGTCCCGCCGAGGAGAAGCCAGCCGCAGTGAAGAGCGAGGAGGCCCTTGTGTGTGATGGACTTACAAGGGGTCTGTGTGTGAGGAGCTTTACACAGAATATCTAGTTTTGTGCAAAATATTTACTCCACCACAGAAGAGGATTCCACTGGCTCAACAGGGCCCGCATTAGGAGATGCTTCCAGGCTTGTGAAGGGGAATCCAGGGGTTGTGGCGCAGCAGCTAAAGAAGAGAATATTTGTAGCTCTGTCTTGAACTGGGTGTGTGTGTGTGTGTGTGTCCTGGGGGCTCTCTGAGCTTGGCTGTTTCCTTGAACAAGTTTTCATTGTCACATTAGCACTGAAGATGTTGGGTCATGAAATGTCTACAACAAAACAGCCAAGCTCAGAGAGCCCCAAAAGTTGAAGGAGATTTTATACCAGGACTTGTCCTCGGGGGAGAGGCTTAGGGGGCAGTGGGGGCTCCTGCCTCAGCCCTGGGCCAGCGCTGCAACTGTTTCCAGAGAGTGGGGGAGGCCCTTCTGGAAAGCATCCACAAACCAACATCCTTGCCCTGATGGCTGCAGACATGGGAAGAGTGCTTCAGTTTGATGTAGCAGAGGTGCAGCTTGACAGATGTGGCATGAGAGAAATGCCATTCTGCTGGACCACGAGTATTCTGGGAGTACTGTGTGAAGTTCTGGTTGCCAGACCTCCAAAATATGTACATATTTCTAAAAAAGTTGCAAAAAAGCAAATGGAGGGCAAGCTGGAAAGAACATGATGGCAGGGTCTCAGATAATGCAAGGGTAAATTTTGCTTTCTTGTTGCTGTGATATTGGCTCTGTAAACCACTTAGAGAGGGCTGGGAAGCAGGGGCTTCTTTAAGCAGCAGACTTGCCCAGGAAATACTGGCAGTGTTTCTGCACAGGTTGGATTAAGAATATGGGCACCCAACGGAGAAACTCTGAAAGGGGGTCAGATCCATTGAGAAGGGGAAAGCAGCCACCAGGGCCGGATGGTGCACCAGCCACACCCACTTTTGGCAGAGGGAAGTGGTCAGCGCTGAGGGTTCTTCCCTGGGGGTCTCTGAAGTGGCTGGGCAGCTAGTCTGGGCCCAGGACAGCCTCAGAAAGTCCTGCTGCCTGGCGGCCTCCTGGCACCCTTCCCATGGTGAGGGCGGGGGAGTCTTGATCCCGGCTGAAGGAGACCCGGCCCAGCTTCAAAGGAGGCGAAGTCAGGCGGGTGAGGATTCTTCCTTGGGAGGCGTGTATGGCTGCAGACAGGCTCGGCCGAGAAGCGTGTTGCTGCCTGCTTTCTGGTGGTGGCATCCAGCTGGAGAGACTGGTTTGGGATTCAGCTGTGGATCCAGCAGGCAGCCTTCCAAAGGGCCTGGGCCAGGTGGGTCGGACTCCCGGCCCCACCTGGCTGCAATCAAAGGGCTCCTGCATTCCCAGCATGGAGGACGCCATTTTATCTGGGGCCAGAAATTTCACTTTCCCCCCCATCAACTTCTCTAGCTGATGTTCCTTCTGATTAATAAATCCTGGGTGAAACAAAGGGCTTGGATAATCTTCCTGTCTAGGATTAAACCGGAGAACTCCAACCTTGACAAGTTTAAGACTTGTGAACTTCAACTCCCAGAATTCCCTAGCCAGCACTGGCTGGGGAATTTTGAGAGCTGAAGTCCACAAATCTTAAAGCTGCCAAGGTTGGAGACCCCTGGAGTGCAGGACACGCTCCCATCCTTGAGATGCAGCTGCCAGAGGGCTCCTCCTTTGCCTTCTAGAAAACCCAGGAGACGCCAGGAGCTCAGAGACCCCCTTCCTTGGGGCCAACGTGGCCCGCCATGTCCATCATGGTGGGCTTGGATGACAGCCGATCGGAGAGGATGACGGGCGATGACATCATCCTCCAGACGCGCCAGGTGATGCAGGGCCTGGAAGCCCTGCGCAGTGAGAACTGGAGCATCCACCACCAGCTGCAGGAGGCTCTGCTGAAGGAGCGGCAGCTGATGGACGAGAGGGAGGACTCCCTGGCAGCCGCCGATGCCCAGGCCCTGGAGCTCCTGGAGGAGAAGCAGGACCTCGTCTGCCGAAGCCTGGAAGGCATAGAGCTGGGCATTGCTGAAGGCCAGGTACACTGGGAGCCCCGAGGGAGGTAGCCAGGAGTTGCTTGGCTGGCTATGATGTCATGGAGCATAAGGAAGCTCAAGGAGCCCTTGGGAATTCTGGGTTGGGGGGGGAGGGCTTTGCACAAGCCTGGGAGGTAGTGCTAGCAGGGGCCACCCTGGCAGCCAGCTCCAACCGGAAAGGTCAAGGGTGTCCATTTGTCCTGACTGTCCCTGGGTTGCATCGGCTGCCTTCAAGTTATTGGTTTGGTTTTAAATATTTTATTTGTTAAGGCTGGGGATGGGAATGGGGCTTTGGTGGTCTGCTACTCACAGCCCCTACTGAAGCAGGAGAACCTCCACCATTTCAGACAGGTGGCTGTCCAGTCTCCTCTTAAAACCCTCCAGTGATGGAGCCCCCACAACTTCTGGAGGGAAGCCGTTAGTCTGATCAATTGTCCTCACTGTCAGGAAATTCCTCCTCAGTTCCAGGTTGCTTCTCTCCTTGATCAGTTTCTATGTGTTGCTTCTTGTCCTGCCTTCAGGGGCTCTGGAGAATAGGTTGACCCAATTCCAATATATTGGAATTGAATATAATGCAAACACAAGCAATAGAACATATAAAATTTATCAAAAAACAATATATAAAAATTAGTTTCTCAAAATATAAAAATAATGTTATCTTATTCTACTGCACCCAAAGGAGTTGGAAGTCAGTGCCCTTTTTTCTTCTTCCCCTTTCCTCCCCTATTTTCCCATTTTCTTCCTTTTTTCCTTCGTATTTCATTTGTAAGTCATTTGTTGTGGCTCTGCACAGCCCCCTCTGGGTCTCCTCAGGGCAAAGGCTGCGATTGCTGGAGCTGCCCCTTCCTCTCTGCAGATGCTGATCGCCCTCTCCTCGCACATCGGGGCGCTGGAGGCCGAGAAGCAGAAGCTGCGGGCCCAGGTGAGGCGCCTGGGCCAGGAGAACCTGTGGCTGAGGGACGAGCTGGCCGGCACCCAGCTGCGGCTGCAGCACAGCGCGGAGGCCGTGGCTCAGCTGGAGGAGGAGAACAAGCACCTGCGCTTCCTGAACCAGCTCAAGCATTACGAGCCCCAGGAGGAGCAGGTGCGGCTGGTGGGGGAGGGGCTTTTCCGAGGGTGGAGGGTGGGGGAACTGCTTGGAGTGACACCCGTTTATGGATCAGGCTGCTTACAGCTGAAAGGATTCAAGTCTCCAAAGAAATTTTGAAGGTTCCTATGAACCATTGATCCCAAGTTCAAATTCAGCCCAAATTATTTGGATGCTCACAGACAGCACCCTGGCTCAGGATGATTGGAAGTGTAGGAGGAGGCGGGGAGGGAAACATGGATCCTGCATCCCTCCCTCCAAAGCCTGCGATTAGCGGAGAGCTTTCTAGAGGAAAACGGAGTGAGGGCTCCTCCCTGCCCCTCCCTGACTTTCCCAGGATCTCCTTGCAGGTGGAGACGGAGGAAGCCTTTCTCAGCACGGATGACGGCCAAAGGCCAGGTGTGTTTCCTAGGCGGTCCTTGGCTTTCTCAGGCAGCTCCCAAGCAGAGCTCGGCCTGACGAACGGCTGCCTGTCTGCCTCAGTGAGGCTGAAGCTGAGGCCCAGCCGTCTCCAAGGACAGCACTTTAACCTGCACAAAAGCAGGAGAAGCCCCGGCTGGGGATGAGGGTGGGCGGGTTCAGAAGGACCCCCAGCTTCTACTCAGCCTGGCCACCCAGCCTCTCTTTTCACCGCCCGGCCCGTGTTGTGTCCTGCAGAGGGGCAGAGTCCGGGTGCAGCGGCCTTGGCAGCCCAGCAGGGCGGGTACGAGATCCCAGCACGCCTGCGGACGCTGCACAACCTGGTGATCCAGTACGCGTCTCAAGGGCGCTATGAGGTGGCCGTGCCGCTTTGCAAGCAGGCCCTGGAGGACCTGGAGAAGAGCTCCGGGCACAACCACCCAGATGTGGCCACGATGCTCAATATCCTAGCCCTGGTCTACCGGTAAGATGCCCGGGGTGCCTGCCCCCCCCCCCCAGGCCCTGCTTCTAGGGAACACGCGGAAAGACCGGGGAGGGGGTGGAACTCCAGGGGGCCTTTTTGTTCTGCCTGTTGCATTTCTCTGCTCCCACCCCACCCTGGAGTCCTCTGAGCAGCTGCGTCCTGGGGTTGCCCTGGCATCGCCTGCAGGCTGCACCCTGCCGCCCCCAACCTCCCTGCTTCTCCTCCTGCAGGGATCAGAACAAGTACAAGGAGGCCACGGAGCTGCTCAATGACGCCCTGGACATTCGTGAGCAGGCGCTGGGCACAGAACACCCTTCTGTGAGTGCCCAGGCTGTGTGGAGGGTGGGGGAAGGCTGGTGCTGGCAGAGGCTCCGAGAAGGAGGGAGGGGGCACCTGGCTTGGTCCCATGCAAAATGTCACCGTTTTATCCGGCTTCTGAGGGTCTCCAACCTCATTAAGCCACCCTTTGTTCCTGCCAGGTGGCTGCCACCCTGAACAACTTGTCTGTGCTGTACGGCAAGCGAGGGAAGTACCAAGAAGCCGAGCCTCTGTGCAAGAGAGCCCTGGAGATCCGAGAGAAGGTAGACACAAACACACAGGCACCACAGTCCTGAGGCTGAAAGGCTGTGTCCTTGGCCCCTTGAAATGGACTATTTATTTATTTACTTATTCATTTATTTATTTATAAAGAGAGAACATTTATTGGCTGCCCATCTTAGAGTAACTCTGGGCAGCTTAAAAAACATAAATAAGTTTATACAAACCAAAGGCCACGCTCCACTTAAAGATGGGGAAGGACAGTGCTGCAGCTTGCCCCCAGCCGAGCAGGGAGGGCACCGAAGCGCCCACTTCCTGCCACGGGAATGTCCACCTTTGAGATCCTTGGGGAGAGGCGATGGGTCTTTTTCCAGCTTTTCCTGCCCTGGGGCCTCCAGGCGGTGTTGGAAAGGTTTAGATCTGGAGTGGGAGGAAGAGCAGCAACTGAACTCCTCTCTCTCCCCCGCCCCCCAAAGCATCCTTGGCACAGGCAGGAGCAGTGAGGGGAGAAGTCCTGAAGGCCAGAAATGGGGCGGGGGGAGAAGCCCTGAACGAGCCCTCACAGCCAAAGGCCTGCCTGAATATGGAGACGGTTGCCATAAACCACCCTCGGCCACTTGACGACTTGCTATGCTGAGGAATTCTGGGAGTTGAAGTCTACAATTCATCAAGTGGCTGAGGGTGGAGACCCCCTGCTATAAACCAGTTTGGCTTCGGGGGCTAGGGGAGACGCCCGGTTTTCAGACCTGCAATCGGAGAGGGGCAAGGAGCACACATGGCCCCACCAACTGCTGCCCAAGCAGCCCATCAGCTGAGCACCGCTGCCCTTTTCCCCACAGGTGCTGGGCGCCAACCATCCAGATGTGGCCAAGCAGCTCAACAACCTGGCTCTCTTGTGCCAAAACCAGGGCAAGTTCGAAGAGGTGGAGCAGTATTACCAGCGGGCCCTTCGCATCTACCAGACCCAGCTGGGCCCCAACGACTGCAACGTGGCCAAGACCAAGAATAACCTGGTAACCTTGGGGTGGTGGGGGGAGGGAAGGGGAGCTTGGAGCTTCTCCCTGGGACTTTGAGGGTTACTGCTGGCTCTGAAGTTTAGCTGGGGTGAATTTCTTTGGCTAAAACATGTTTAAGGAAGGGCAACATATGCCAATGATGAGGCTTTCATTGACCAATAAGCTTTAAAACTAAGCCAAGATCTGTTTCAACTGTGGAGTTGCAGTGGCCAGTTCCCCCTGACCCCCTCCCCCTTTCCTTCCCACCCCCCAGGCAGAATTACAAGCATCCTCGCCAAAGCAGTGGCTTTTTCCCTGGGGTGGATTCCTAGTTTGCCCTTTGGGTGGGAGTGTTTGCTGCCCGCCTGGGGGTCCACGGATTGCGTATCCTATTTGAATTCTATTTGAGGAGGGCAGGGGCTCACACACACACACACACACACACACACGCACGGTGCTTTGCGTCCTCTCTCCGGCCAGGCCTCGTGTTTTGTGAAGCAGGGAAAGTTCCAGCAGGCTGAGCAGCTGTACAAGGAGATCCTGTCCCTGCAGGACCAGGAGCCGAGCACCCCCAGGGGTGGTAAGAGCCCAGCGCTGGGCAGCCCTTTCCCTGGGGGAAGTGGGGGAAGGCAGGGTCCTCAGCATCTGGATTCACCTCTTGAAACCCCCTCCCCTCCTCTCCCTCCGTCTTCTTCAGATTATAGCTGGACAGGAGCTGGCAACACCTGGGAAGGGCAGGTGAGTCCTCAGAGCGCTTCCCCTGCAAGCGGCTTTGGAGATTGACCATCTGGGGAGGGATGACAAGCCAGGGGGGTGGGGGGGCATGGAGGAGCAAATCTTTGAAGCCGCTTTCACCCTGGCACCGCTGCCTCCTCCAAGCCTTGTCAGCTGAGCCTAGGAGGTAAGAGGGCGGCAGGGCGGCCGTGGCTGCCTCCGTTGCCATTTGGACGGCAGGTGGTTGGGGGGGGGATGGGGAAGCCCCCCAGGTTTTGAGTGTGCACCCCCCCTTTTTCTCCAGGAGGGGATGAGGCGCAGTAGCTCCTTCTCTCGCTTCCGGGAGTCCCTCAAACGCAGCAGTGAGAAGCTGGTCTCCAAGCTCCGGGGCCAAGCAGTGGGGCAGCCCAAGGACACTGCAGCCCCCAGGTGAGTCGGGGCTCCCAAGAAGCTCTCAGCCAGGCCGGCCAGGAAGAGCTTAATCGGGCCTCTCTTCCTCAGGATGACGCGGGCCACTTCCCTCAACATGCTGTATCTGAACGAGGCTGCAACTGTCACAGCCCCAAAGGTGAGTCGGGGGCCCAGAAGGACCGCCACACTCGGCAGCAGAGCCCCAGGCTGAACATGGGGCAATGGACGAAGGCCCTGGCCAGCCCCACGGATGGCCCCGACTGAGCCCCCACTTCCGGGCAGCCCCAAACAATGCCGGGCTGGGTTCACACGATTGGAGCCATCGGGCACTTTTAACTAGGGCTGTGTCCCGTTTCCCACTCAGCTGAGAGACAATCCAGTCCAGGGGCTCTGGGTGCCAGGCTAGAAGCAGATGGACTAGTCCCCCTTTTAGGCATGAAGCCAGCTGGGTGACTTAGGGCCAGTCACTTCCTTAGCCCTAGTGGGGAGGCAATGGCCAACCCCTTGTGGAAAGCCTTGCCAAGGAGGCTGCAGGGACTCATGCAGTCAAAGGCACCCAAAAACGCCCAAACCCTTAGCTGGAGCCAGGACACCTGGTGAGCGGGAGGCTCGGGAGCATTGGCCAAGGTAGCTTGCTGGGTAATCCGGTTCAGCCTGTTGTTCAGACGCAGCAAACCCCAAGAGAAGCAGCAAGAATTGGAGCAGAGAACATTTGCGGCAGTAAATCACCAATTTCTCCAAGCACAGCCTGAAGAGGGACCCCTCCTCTTTCCCTCCTGCAGCCCACTCGGAACCTGAGCACCAGCATCCAGGACCTCACGCACCGCCCCGCCCACTAGGCCCACCGGCCTTCCCTCTCCCTGGGTGGCCTGTGGGTTCCAGCACTTCACCTGGCACTCCCTGGACTGACCGCCACATGCATGGAAAGTCTTCCTTGGGGGGGTGGCAAGCGCCCCTCCCAGGTCACAAAGGACTCTTTCTCAGGAATGGAGCAGCTGCTGCCATCCCAAAGGATCACAAGGGGGGGGAGGAAACTTCTCCCCCCGGCTATTGCCTTAAACTCCTTGGGGCAGGGGCAGCGGCAACAGCAGCCTGCCCCCCACCCCAATCCCTCTGTGGCTCTTGTGAAGCCAATCCTTAGTTTATTTATGCACCTTATTTTTCTTTAAATAAAGTCTGCTGGAAATGAATTACTTTATTTTGGGGCGGGGGAAGGGGTCTCTACAAGTTTTATAGTCCGAAGTGGCTTTGGATGAAAATGATTACGTGCCTCCCCCAGTTTTCTCTCTCTCACACACACACACAGAAAATCACTTGAGTAGCAGCACAGTAATCCCCTTTATTAAAAACCCAGTCCAGAAATCTAGGATTAGTTGGGGGAGGAGGGGCTTATCCAGGCCAAAAGGCATTCCCTGTCCCCGCTGAGTTCCGCAGTGTGGATGGATGGGTGGAGGGAGGGAGGGAGGGAGGGCCAGCCAAGGTCCCTGCCCTGCAGAGTGCGTTGGCTGGCATCCTCGGCCGCCACTCACACCTGGTGGGCAATCTCCCGCACTCTGCGCAGGGTCTCCTCCGACTGCAGCTGCTGCAAGGTGAGCAGGGACAGGCCCAGCTGGTCTTCCTGGAGGGACAGCAAGATGGGAGGAGGGGTCAAGATGCCCGCTGGCCCCCTGCCAGGACAACCAAACCCACTTCTGCCCAGAGCTGTTCGATACAGCTGACAAATAAATTTAATAATAAAATAAAAGTAAGCATGGCTGGCTGGGGAACTGGGAGCTGCCAACTTTGCAGACCTTTGGGGTACAAGATGCCCATGGCCGGAGCCAGCCTCTTCCCACCACAGCACCTCCCCTGCCCCACCTTGCGGAAGGGCTGGGCCATCTGGCGCAGGAAGTGCTTGGCCACCTGCACGGCCTCGTCCAGCGTTAGGTTCAGGTTGGCGTCAGTGATGTGTTCTTGGATCCAGCGAGGAAGCTTCCCTCGCTTGTCTGCCCGGGCGAAGCGCTGCAGGGGAGACACAGGATTAGCCGCTTCCCGGCCGTCCAGGCTGCAGCCAAGAAGACCCCCCCCTTCCCCCATTGGACACACCTTGTCGGCAAAGATCAAGAGGCCGTAGTCTGTCTTGCCGCGAATGGCCCGTCCGACGCACTGGGCCGCGTGCCGCATGGCGTCGAACGTCAGGAAGTCATTTTCACGGATCTGGAACTGGTTCCTCAGGTACTCCAGCCGGGCCTGGGATGGGAGAAAGGACAGTGAGGGTCTGCTCCCCCTTCTCCACCCCTTCCCCAAGAAATCGGCACAGGTGTGGCAATGCTATGCCAGGTGCGCCAGAAGCGTTTCCCCTCCATCAGCAGCTTGTGAGAAACAGCCAGGCCAACAGCGGGTGGGAAAATGGGCTAGTTCTCTCCTACAGGAGCCTGCCCCCCCCAACTGAGGCAAGGGGGGGCAGACCTTCCCCCTCAAGGAAATGAAGGCTCTGCTGCCTGAGCGAATCGGAGCAGGACTAGGCAGAGGAGCAGCCGACACGGGGCTCACCTTCAGGATCCGGCTTTGGGTGTAGACATAGGGGACGCCAAACATGATCACGGCCCTCCCGTAGTGGTGAACTGGGGAAGGGAGGAAGCAGATGGGGGGGGGGAGGTCAACGCTGCATCTAAACAGGTCTTTTCCCTGCAATTTCAAGGCGTTTGTGCATTTAAGGCCAGGCGCAAACTCAGCCCCAGGCCAGCTTCTGCCCAGAAGAGCCTTCGTGGTCCCGGACCCCCTTCAAAGCTTCTCAAGGGAGGGGGGAGGGCACTCACCAAAGTCGATCCCTTCGGAGACCTTTCCCCTGGCCACCGACAGCAGGATGGCCCCTCGGCCGTTCTCGCAGGCCTGGGGTGCAAACCAACCCATCCTCTTATCACCCGCAACAGTTTTTTACCCCAAATTCAGAAAAAAAGTCAACGCACTGATCTCCAAAAGGCAGCAAGTCCTCCCTCAGGATTAAGCTTGGAGGGAGAAAGGTACATGGGGGGGGGGGCCCCCCCCCCTGCAGCAAGTGCCCCCCCCCCACCCTCCCCTCACCTCCTGGTACTTCTCCAGGGCCACGCTCGTCTCGGCTCCATCCTGCGTCTCGATGAAGATGAGCTTGTTCCGCTGAATGTTCTCCAGGATCCCCTGGAGAAGCCCGAGAGGAGAGAGGTGGAGCCCCAGCTGTGGGAAGCCCACTTTGCAGCCCGGCTCTGCTCCTGGGTCTCCCCCACCCCCCACCTTCTCAGAGCATGGAGCGGCAGCTGGATCGTTCCTGTGAGACCTGCAGAATGCCTGGCTGCTTTGTGCAAGGGGGGTGGTGCTCTATTTCCACACCCCCAAAGTCTTAGATCGGTGCCCCGCTTAATGACCACAGAGGTAAGCTCTGGGATCAGCTATTGAAAGGACGTCCGAGATGAAGGTGGGGTCAAATGCATTATCGGTTTGGAATCCTTACGCAGCCAAAAGCGACCCAAGTCCAGCCCCCCCCCCCCCCCCCCATGAATTCCGTTGACTTTTATCTAGGGCCAATTTGCCTTGACAGTAGAGCAGCCTCTTGTGTAGAAGGAGCCTGGAATAAGCTTTGAGTGCTTTCAACTCAGCTCCTGGCATCAGCCCTGGAGAAGGAAACGAGGAGCAGCACAAGAGGAGCTGTGAGGCTGCAGCTCACCAGGCAGAGGAGGAAGGGAAACCCCTCCCCAAATTCCATAGCTGTCAGGCTGTCCTCCCCCAAGATGGACTGAGTGTTTGACCGAGAGCAAGTTGACCAGTCTGGTCTTGGATGCAACGCAGCCCCCATTTGAGAGTTTTCCCCCTTGAAATTCTCAGGGGTTTCAGGCACCCCAGGAACCGCCTCTCTGTTTGCTGCTTCGGCAGAAGCCCCCCAAAAGGCCCCGTCAAAAGCAGCCCCGAACACAGCCGGCCTGGCGCACCTGCTCATACCAGGAGGCCACGATGTTCTCCATATACTGGTAGCTGGTGAAGAAGGCCACGATGCCATCAGGGACCACGCCTGACATCTCCAGGAGGAGGTTGCCATAGTTGCGGATCACGGCTGCCGGAGAAGCACACTCCCTTCAGGCTCCCAGGCCCTGCCCCTCACAACTGGGGGCAGGAGGCGAGGGCAAGGCAGGGGTCGCCCCCGCAAAATCCCACCCCTCCCTCCAACTGCAAGTGGTCACAGCACTGCACTGCCCTCCCCTCCACTAGGCAGCCCGAATGGACAAGGGGATGCCCCCTGAACCTGGGAAGGGAGGCGGCTCCAGGCTCTGCTGCCCCATCCCCATCGAAGACCCTCACCAATGTCCTCGCGGGTTTCAAACTTGGAGCTGATGGTCACTTGGTCATTCCCTCGGCCCACAATCTGGAAGGGAAACCGAAGAGAGGAAGGGCCCAGGACCCCATTGTCACCAGCCAGGGCCAGGGAGCCGGTTGAGGAGAGGGGCCCACAGGCTGGACGGAGAGGGGCCTGCCTGGTCCCCTAGGAAGGGAACGGGAGGGGGCAGTCTCTCTCTATTCCCGCCCTCTGGCACTCACCATCGGGCAGAGGCAGGTCCGGGCAAGGGTCATGGTGAAAGTGGCCATGGTCACCGGCCGGAAGTCCAGGATTTGGGGGTACATGTCAAGGGGGGAAAGGGTCTAATTGCAAGGGAGGAGAATAGCAGGTCAGGGCGGCAGCTTCCCACACTTCCAGCCCCCCAGACAGGTGTGTGTGTGTGTGTGTGTGTGTGTGTGTGTGTCCTGCTACTGGCCAAGAATGCCCCCGTCCCCCAGGCACTCACTCCTGAGGTGATGATGACCGTCTGGAACCGCTCAAAGACGGGCTTGATGGCGATCGAGGCATCCATGCAGCTGGAAGAGGAAGCGTTGATTTCTCTGGCGTGAGGCAACTGGAAGAGGAGGCGACACAGAGAGAGGCGCCTCCTCCCAGCTCAGACCCCCAAATTTTAGAAGGGGGCTGAGACCACCAGAGACCCTTCATCCTCTGAAGAGCTAAGGCAGAGCCAGGACCTTTTCCACTCAACTCGCCCAGCATGGTTTTCCTCTGAACCGCAACACCCAGAATTCCCGGCCAGCCAGACCCCAAAGTCCCTCACCTGAAGTGCAGGATGGGGTTGAGGATGGTGGGCGTCCTGTCGTCAAAGGGCTCAATGAGGATGGTGAATCCTGAGGAGAACAAAAACGAGAAGAGGCGCTGACGAGGGGCACAGAGCCTCCCCCTGCATGGCACGGCCGAGAAGGCCCAAAGCAGCTGCCCGGCGGGATCGGGGAAGGCCGCCCTCAGCCAGCAATCCTCTGGGGAGCTCACGGGCAAAGAGCCTCGTCAAGGGCTTTTTGAAGATCCAAGCCTGGGGCACCAACCCTCCTCCCCCCACATTTGAGCTGTCTCTGGAGGGTCCCAGTCCTCCGGGTCATGGCTGCCCCAAAGGTGCTCTTGGAAAAGGCAACTGGACTTCCTTGTTTTCTTCCTTTGAAAAGCTTCGCTTCTCATCCAAGAAGCTTCTTCAGTTCATATTTCTTCATTCTGAAGCTTCTTGAATGAGAAGTGAAATGTTTTCAAGGAACAAAATCAAGAAAGCCCAGTTGCCTTTTGCAAAAGCATCTTTGGGACATATTTGTGCCGACACCAAAAGACCCCCAAACGTTCATCAAAGCTGGGCCGGCCAGCACAAAAGCCACGATGGTTTTCCTTCGGTGAAGATGGGCTGCTGCCTGCTTATTTATGTCGTCCTCAGCTGGCCTTCCTACCAATTCCCGAAAGCAGACCTCTAATTCCCCAGAGCTCCTTCTTGGGCGCCTTCCAGGTCCCTCCCAGGTTTCGCCCTGCCAATTCCAAGGAGGTGACGTGGATGGGAAGAAATTACAACACCTGGGAGGCCCCGAGAGGCCGGCTGGCTGAAGAGCGGAGCCGCTGGGCCAGAGAGGCCTCCTTACCCTTGGAGTAAGTGCTGACCAAAGTGGCGAAGTTGGAGATGAGGGTGATAGGCGAGAAGTCGGAGATGTCCGCGATCTCCAGCGTGCGAAGGAGGCAACGCAGTCGCTCAGCACAGAACCTGCCAGAACCCAGGAATCGAGGCTGGTATGAGGACAACCTGGAACAGCTGCCCCGAGGTCCTCTGGACAGCCTGCTGGACCCAGCCAGGCTTCCTCACGTGCCCCTCCGTGCTCCTGTCCTTTTCAA